CCTGTGCTTGTTTAAGCTATCCACCACCCCTTTCGCCCACCCTGTAGGGACTTCTTCCATATTTATCCAACCTTACCAGGCCCCCAAGAACAGCGCCAGACTTTGAAGCCAATTTTTGTGGTGGCCAAACTGTGTTACTACAACTTACACGTCTATCATGTGATGCTGAGCCCGTCTGTAAATCAGCTGTTTTACTATCGGGATTTGATCCATTCAGTCCGACAGCATTTCGAAAGTCTAGTCTACAAAGTCTAGAAGAACTGCACAATTAAATCATTTTATCCACATCCAATTTAGCAGAGGGTTTAACTGGAAATAGCCTGTTCGGCTGGCAGAAGTCTCTTGTGCCATTGCTCTATAGGTCTGTGAGCGGAAGATCCTAGGAATTTTATACCCGTGAAGTAGAGCTTTTATGGCTTCATGGTCAACTGAGCCCCACCTCCCATGCTGTATCCAGTTCTCTTTATGCATCTGTGAACACTACATGGACTTTGTTGCCTTTTATACATTGTTACATCATTTTCTCCTCTGCTCCCATAATAAATACTACGGCCGCTAGATGGCACTGCCTTACAATAAGTGTAGGTTAATCGCGAGAAACTTGCACAGTTGACCTACAGTATTTCGGGCAGGAGAGACAGAATGAATTAAAGATAATTGTTTAATAGCCTACAGATTAACAGATGATATGCAACGATTAAGATTTGACAGAACAATTTTGGTGCTTAGACGCTACATTGTGTAATCGAGGGTTGTCATCCCTGAGCAGCAGCAAGATAAATCCCCACATGGAGTCCAGACACTGGTGGTGGTGGAGGCTGGTGACTCTGCTGAAACTGATAGGCTGATGAAGCTGATGAGTCTGCGAAGACAAGGCGGTGATGGGGAGGTGGAGGGTGCGCACAGCTGCAGCATGAACATACTAAAGACACAAAGAGAATCATATTTAAAAAGACAGCAGCAAGACAGACTAACAATGAAGGTGTGTCGCCGCACTATTGGTTAAATGTGATCAGCTGATAGAACAGCTGATATTCCAATTGACAGCCGCAGACAATGACAGCAAGAGATTGTGAATAAGCATGTGTGGGAGAAGTGAATGGCAGATGGATGAAGTAAATTACAGGCCTAAGCATGCAAAAGTATAGTCTTCCTGTCTGAACTTTCACTTGAGCTTCATACTGATGTTTTTTCAGTCAGAGTGTACCTTGAATTAAAATTGTTTTTCCCAAGTTGAGAAACTGTTGATGTAAAAATAACCGGATTGAAATGTCTGATGAATCAAGAAACTTCTTTATGTAAAAGCAAAAATCATACTTAAATCCAGTATTGCTGAATGCATGTCACCTTTCTGTATATGATGTTATATCACCCACCTCTCATTGTCACTGCGTTTTCAAGATATAACTTTCAAAACTGTTAGTAAATGCCAATATTGCAATTTTCTTGCATTGTCTTAAATTTAACAGAAGCAACAAAACTTTACTTAACAGGGTCTTTTAGTGTTTATTCAAGTAAAATTGCGCTCTGCACATATGTTTGCAAAAAAATGTAAAAGGTGTGATGGTCTGGTTCTACTGTAAGTTGAACCACTGTAGTGTAATGTGACAATCATTGGCTGCTTGTGTCATCAGCAGAAAATTAGCAAGCCTGAGGCTATTTTTAGGTGTGCTGACTTAACAATGGCTCAAAAGGTAAAATCAGTGGAGGTCATAGACGCCACACATGAGCCCAAGCATCATCAGCACATTGTAAGTCACATGTGCTGCATGTGTGTTTCTCATTTTGCCAGGCAAACATAGTCAAATCTCCCAGTTTGCTGTTCAGATGTACTTCTCTTCACTGGAAATCGTAGCTAACTCTCAGGATTAAGTGTTGTTAGAGCTGTAAATCCACGTTGTTTCATTTCATTCGTCTCTCATGTGGAAAATCTCTGAGGAGAAAACTGTGAATTTTAAAAAGCGTGTTCAGTTAAACAATTGTGCTTGTGTGAGCATGAAGCGCTGGCAGTGGCATGCATCTCCTTCATCGCCTGGCCTCTTCTTGACACTGAGGCCGACTCTGTTGTCCGACCCTTCGTTAACAAAAGGACAACAGAGCAACATGAGAGCAGCGGAGGACAGAGGGAGACTGGCCTTTATGCTGTAATTCTCTCTGGACAGCTGTCATCACCCACTCCAGCCCTAGGGTCCAGCATTAAGACTGAACTGGTTTCTTATTTAATCAACGGTGTGGCTAAACGCATTACCCAGAATTTAGAAATTAATTAAACTTGCTGAAAACAATAAAATTGCTCTTGTAGTGGCATCTTTGTACATCTGACAGATTAAGTTCACACTTGACACACAGAATTCAGGTGATAAATTGTAGCTAGTGGCAGAAACTTTAAGACTAAAGCAATAAAATAATTATTGCAGGAGATGTAAGAAAAGGGCAACACAAATTAGAATATTAGATGTATGAAACTGCTGCTGTCAACATAATATGCCTGTCATTAGATGTATTGGGAAAAAGCTCATGATGCTACATGTCTGCAGGGTATGTAGGCAAAGCTTCACTCGTTGTGAAAAGATTGTGTGCTCACCTGTGAAAACCTATAACTTGCGTTTTTGTGTGACTTTTTTTTTTAGTAATATCACAACAACATGATGCATTTTTCATCCAGGGTCCTCAGTCTCTGTTTTATTTATCAGTGTCTATATAAAGCCTCACAAACTTTGGCACGGACTAATCTTCCCTTAAATGTTTCTCTTGTACCACTTCCTTGGTAAAAAAAAAGCCCCATCAGATTCCAGGGCTCTGAATAGACTGCTGGTTACTTTATATGGTCTGAGACATGGCGTTAACATGTTGATTCCCTTCAGTTATAAACATCCATCCATTCATCAATTTTCATACGCAAATCTGGGGCCAGGTCATGGAGGCTGCAGGCTGAGCAAGGTATCCCAGGCTCTCCCCAGCAACGTTTTCCAGTTCCTCCTGGGGGATCTCGAGGAGTTACTAGGCCAGATGAGATATATAATCCCTTCTGCGTGTTCTGGGTCAACCCAGGGGCCTCTTCCAGTTGTATGTGCAGAGGAAACCTCTAACGTGAGGTGCCCAGGAGGCATCCTGATCACATGCCCAGACCACCATAACTTGCCCCTTTTGCAGCGGCTCGACTTTGACCTGCCTTCGGATGTCTGAGCACGTCACTCTATCTCCAAGGCTGAGCCCAGACACCCTGTGGAAACTCATTTCAGCAGCTTTTACCTGTGATCTCATGCTTTCAGTCACTACCCAAAGCTCATGACAACAGATGAATGCCTGAGCGTAGATGGACCAGTAAATCAAGAGCTTTGTCTTTTGGGTCAGCTCCCTCTTTCACTGCTTGGTGTACCATTTTACCCTCACTCCTGAACAAGACCCTGAGACACTTGAACTCCTTCACTTAGGGCAGTAACACTCTCCCAAGAAGAGGGCAATCCACCATTTTCTGGCTGAGACCATGGCCTCAAACTTGACGGTACTAACTCTCATCCCAGCTGCGTCACACTTGACTGCAAACTGCCCCAGTGCAAGTTGGGGGTCAGATCAGAATCGCATCATCTGCAAAGAGCAGAGCGTTAATTCTGAGGTCCCCATTACTAAACTCTCTCTTCTCCCCGGCTGTGCCTTGAGATCCTGTCCATGAATATCACAACAGAATCAATGACAAGGGACGACCCTGGCAGAGGCCAGCACTCACTAAAAACATTTGACTTTGTGTCAAGTATGTGGATACAGCTCTTAGTTTTGTTAAAAAAGGACCGTATTGCTTTTAGCAACAGCACCAGAACCCCACACTCCCGGGAGACACAGTCATAAGCCTCCTCCAAGTCCACAAAACACATAAATGGGCTAGATGGGCAAACTGCTATGACCCCTCCAGTAGCCGTGCAAGGGTGAGGAGGTGATCCACAGCCAAATTACAAACATGTAGCACAACCCCTTTCGTTGCTGTAGTTTTGAAAGTATTTCCCTTTTTGCTGTAGCTTCAAACTGGGTGGTAGGGGTTCTCATCTAAGCCCTCAAGTAATGGGAAGCTCATGGTAAAGCCTGACATTCCTTTCTATATTCCACTGAAACAAGGGTGGTGAAAGCATAATTTCTATCTGGTTGTGTTCACTGTGTTTTTGGCCAATTTCCAGCATGGAGGTAACTGGTAGAAATAAATCTCACATAACCTGATAAAGATCTGTATGAAGACTTTAAAAGTACATTTTAATCAACCCATATTTAAGTCCCATTGAGATCATTGATCTTTTTTTCCAGTGAAGACCTGGTCAAGACAGCAACATAAAAAAGTTACAGACAAACAATAACCACAATAAAACAAAAAAGATATACACCAACATGTCGAAATACCAAAACTACTTTCGCACAATGACCAACTGATTCATTCACCCTTGTACTTAAGTAAAATAAGAGATACCAGTTCTCCTAATTTCAGATCTTTTTAATTACAGTGTATGATCAAACACAAAACCACACTTATACTGTTTTCCCATAAAACTGTACAGTATATATCTGATGTTTATGTTGTAGCCTTCCAGCTGCTGCACAGCCTTTGAAACAAAGCATCTGCTACTGAATCTGCAACCACACAAGCTTGTACAATTTGGCAAGGTCAATCAAGCAAACCTGCAAGAAGCTGAAGGAGACCTACTGTACGATGCACATTAACTATGCCAAGGATGTGCTGTTTGTGTATGCAAATGCCCTGTGGTAAAATAATTGAAATGAGAGCACACAGCATGGCTCTGTGTTGGCACTGCCAGCAACTTGGGCACACATTTTTATTTCATGTTAAGAGTGGGCAGGAAATTAATTTACATATTGTTTTGTCTTATTCCACCTTATGCCTGATTTTAATGTTTGGTGCATCTTTGTATCTGTCTGTCTCAGAAAGTGGCTGAGCCTTTGTTTAACTCAATAAGTGGTTTTCATTTGTCTAAACACACTTCCTCATGCCTTCACAGGAGACCAATGAGCTGGTGGCCATTAAGAAGTTCAAAGACAGCGAAGGTGAGTGACGGAGGGAGGGAGGGAGAAAGGGAGAAAGGAAGGGAGAGAAAGAGGAACAGCTGTATCATTTCTGCCTCTCTAATTCCCACACAGAAAATGAGGAGGTCAAGGAGACGACTCTTCGGGAGCTGAAGATGCTTCGGACACTGAAGCAAGACAACATCGTCGAGCTGAAGGAGGCTTTTCGGAGGAGGGGGAAACTCTACCTTGTCTTTGAATATGTCGAGAGGGTCAGCTCGTTGTTTCACTCTATGCACACATTAATTCTTACATTACACGTCTCCACTCTGCTGCATCTAGACTCCCAAGTTTCAGGATGTTGAGACTGCTCGGTTAAGCATAAAAAAAGCATCACCATGGCAACATATGAACTATGCTGTTGGTGAATAATGGTATTCCCCACTGTGTTGCCAGGGTATCCAGCCAAGTGTTTATTTCATGACAGGTTTTATATTCATACTGTACTCCAGTCATTTTAGCATGGTGTCCCCCTTGCTCTCTGGTTGGGGTTAAAAAAAACTATCAGGGAGAGGAATCCCCACCCAAATATATTTATTATATTTATTTTCATAATACTCATTCTGGGCAAGATGCTATAATCTGGAATCATTATTCAGTGTCAGTAGAATATATAAGCGTGCATATATATGCTAATGTATATTGTATGCATGTGAGTGTGAGACTGTGTGTACGTGTGTCATAGTGTGTGCATGAGAATGCATGTGTTTATGGCAACCTTTCAACATTTAATAAGAGGCAGGAAGAGCAAATATAGATATAGACGACTGCGTTATTTAATTTTGACTAGCAGCAATTCTAATTAAAGATATCAACAGTTCATTGCTCACTAGCTGAAATGTTAATTCTTAATGTCAACAACTCATTTCTTGAGTGAAAATGTTCTTTGTAGGTATCTGTAATTTAATTACAACTAGTCAACCTTTACCATTGACTTCTATTCAAACATAGATTTCTATAATTCAGTTTTGACTGTTATAATTCCAAATAGGTTTTTTTTTAGATATCAAAAGAGACATTTCCACTAGTCAAAAATGTTATTGTGAAAATTTTTAATGACTTAGGTAGCTACATATCTGAAATGAATATGGTAATTTAAAAGATGACAAATGGCTTTATGGTACTTAAATACTATCTGAAATGATTTGTTGATATGTTTGACTTATTGTAAATGCAGTTGTTGTCTGAAATGATTATTAATCATCATTCTTCCTAGTGAAAAAGGAATGTCTGATATTTGCAATTTTATTGAAAACAGCAGTAACACTGGGGCGGCAGTGGCTCAGTCCATAGGGACTTGGGTTGGGAACCGGAGGGTCTCCTGCTCAAGTCCACATCCGGACCAAAATATGGAGTGTGGACTGGTAGCTGGAGAGGTGCCAGTTCACCTCCTGGGCACTGCCGAGGTGCCCCTGAGCAAGGCACCTAACCCCCCAACCACCCTGACCTCTCTCCACTTAGTGCATGTATAGGTCCAGTTTGTGCATGCGTGTGTTCGGACCTGTGTGTAATTGACAAACAGTGAAAAATTGAATTTCCCCTCGGGGATTAATAAAGTATATAAAATTAAAATTAAAGTAAATTAAATTATGAAGAACATATTTAAAAGATGAAGAACACAAGAACAAGAGCACACATTTACAGTGCCTTATGACTACACTCATAAACACACATAATGCTTGCATTATCATTATCTTGCATGATAATGATAACGCACAATAAGCCCCATCAGTTAACCTCTAGTTTATAACTAATCAAGAGCATCAATACGACACTTGACACTTATAATTCATCATAAGTTACATAGATAGTGTTACCAAGATATCGGCACATCAGTTTTGATTAGTCAAAATGTGATTTCTACATGTGAAAATATACATGTAACAGGTCAAAGTTGTTATACAGATAAATTAAATTCACATTTTGACGTATCAAAATATCATTTTGACTTGTTGAAATATATTTTCCAACAGTGTAAACTAAATTGCTAATTGTCAGCCTTACTTATTAAATGTTAAAAGGGCTTGCCATAATGCGTTTTTCCCCCTCACTCTTTTATTTTTGTATTTTAATCTTGTATATTTGAGCACCTGAATTCTGTTGTATGCACCAGTAAGGTGTCAATAAAGAAATTATATTCTGTTTTGTAAGAATTGTCTGGGACATCAACAACATTCATATTTCAAAGCACATTTTCACCAAGCCAAATACTTAAGCTACACATCCAGGCTCTTTCTTGTGTTTTGCAGAATATGCTCGAGCTATTAGAGGAACTGCCCAACGGTGCACCGCCTGATAAAGTCCGCAGCTACATCTACCAGCTCATCAAAGCCATCAACTGGTGTCACACGAATGAGATAGTACACAGAGGTGAGGAGTTTATCTTTAATTCTATATTTATGTCTCTACTGCAAAAATATTAATACCGCTTAGCCTGATGGCCTTGACTTAACGGAGGCCTTTATTTTAAACAGCATACCTGCAGTCTATTTGAGTCCTCGTGTACTGTGTAAAGCACATCCTGTGCTTTCTAGTGATGTAACACACACATGGGGGTGTGACGGACAGAACACATCTTCTGTCTTCTCAAAAAGGAGTGAATTGTAAAAACACGTTTAATTGCAGTAAGGGAAACAAATGATTACATTTATAAAGATAAATTGTCTCTGTGCTTCACCAGGATGTAGTTTTTTGTAAATTTATAATAGTCTTAACTATGTTATGTTAATATTTTAGAAGTGTATGTTAAGCCTTCAAAAGAAACATTTTAATCCATGTCTTTTGTTGGGGACAGTGGGACTTTTTATTTTCAGCCATTTTCCATACTTCAGAAAAGAGGGAAGACAGGCAGTACAGCAGGATGTTGAATGTTCAGAGAAGGATGTATCAGCTGAGGAGGAGCCTAAGAAAGAAATTACTGACACCCAGCGCCCATTTTGGAGTAAAAGTGACACGTAAACCAGGGTCCTGAAGCTTTATTTATTTGACACAGGTTCAAAGAAGGGTAAACTGAGATTATTTGTCTGGTAGCCTGCAGCCAGCCAATCACGTGGCAGCACTTCAAGAGGTGATTTAAGTGACTTTGAACGTGGCATGGTTGTTGGTGCCAGATGGGCTGGTCTGAGTGTTTCAGAAACTGCTGATCAGAGGAGAATGGCCAGACTGGTTCAAGATGATAGACAGGCAACAGTAACTGAAATAACCACTGGTTACAACCAAGGTCTGCAGAAGACCATCTCTGAACCAACAACACGTCCAACCTTGAAGCAGATGGGCTACAGCAGCAGAAGACCACACCAGGTGCCACTCCTGTCAGCTAACAACAGGAAACTGAGGCTACAGTTCACACAGGCTCACCAAAACTGGACAATAGAAGATTGGAAAAACGTTGCCTGGTCTGATGAGTCTGGATTTCTGCTGCCACATTCAGATGGTAGGGTCAGAATTTGGTGTAAACAACATGAAAGCATGGATCCATCCTGCCTTGTATCAACGGTTCAGGCTGCTGGTGGTGGTGTAATGGTGTGGGGGATATTTTCTTGGCACACTTTGGGCCCCTTAGTACCAACTGAGCATGGTTTAAACACCACAGCCTACCTGAGTATTGTTGCTGACCGTGTCCATCCCTTTATGACCACAGTGTACCCATCTTCTGATGGCTACTTCCAGCAGGATAACGCACCATGTCACAAAGCTCAAATCATCTCAAACTGGTTTCTTGAACATGACAATGAGTTCACTGTACTCCAATGGCCTCCACAGTCACCAGAACTCAATCCAATAGAGCACCTTTGGGATGTGGTGGAACGGGAGATTCACATCATGGATGTGCAGCCAACAAATCTGCAGCAACTGTGATTTGTCATCATGTCAATATGGACCAAAATCTCTGAGGAATGTTTCAAGCACCTTGTTGAATCAATGCCATGAAGGATTAAGGCAGCTCTGAAGGCAAAAGGGGGTCCAAATTGGTACTAGCAAGGTGTACCTAATAAAGTGGCTGGTGAGCGTTACATACATGTATTGTACTGTAATGTACATTTCATACCAATCACTTAAAATGTGTAAAAAAAAAAAACAACTTTTTTTTTTTCATTCAGGTCCCAGGATGTAATATGTAATTATGTAAAAAAAAAAAAAAAAAAAAGGGTTATGTTTTGTCTCATAATAGAAAGTTGTCATTTGTCTGCGTCTCTCTTCCAGATATCAAGCCAGAGAACCTCCTCATCAGCTCAGAGGATGTTCTCAAACTCTGTGACTTTGGTGAGTCTTTGCTCTTCTTCTCCTGATCTTTACAGCAGCAGTATTGTCACGCTGAGTTGTTGAGATTTACGTGTGCAATGCAGTAAAACCTCACAGACTCTCGCACGTTTGCCTTGTCAAATAAAAGTAACTGCTTGTAAAATCAAGGTGTTTGTTTAACAGACTGATTATTTGACGTTGTGCTGCATCTGCAGATTCATCGTAATGCTGTCAAATTATCTATGATATCTGCCGTTATATCTGCAATTTCAGTTTGGTTTTTTGGGCTCAGTTTTCTGTGAAAGATCCCACCATTAATTTGTCACCTTGTAAGTTGTAAGGATCAATTCTGCCACTGGGAAGCAGCCAGCTCTATAAAACACACTCCAATGGTTGTTATCACAATTTATCTGCCAAAGCTATATTTCAATAACGGCAGGTGAATGTTAGGAACCTGTTTTCCTTGTAAAATGCTGAGGAATTATTTGGATAGCTTTGTCATTTTATAGTTTCCCAGGTGTGTATCGTACATTTGTTTGAGTATTTGCTAAATCACACGGTCAGTTAGCTTTGCATAATTGGCTAATGCGATCCCACTGAGTCAGCTGGGGTGAGATTTGTTTGTTATTCACTGTTGGAGCTGGCATTCTGTTTATTGTGATTTTTCATGCTTAAAATGGACTCTCTGTACACCAGTTATCTAAAGCACAGTCTCAGCCCGCCTGCAGTGACATAACTAATTAGAGTCTGGTCACATGGGATGATGGCCATGTTGTTACTGTCGCTGTCCAAATGATTAAATGATTGGAGTGTTGATTACTTTATTCTTACTAATTAGCCATTTATATTTATCACAGAGTGCTGTATGTTTGAAATATACTGTAAGTGTCAGCGCCTATATGATTTATTCATCTCCATGTTTCTGTGGCTCAGGTTTTGCTCGTAACCTGTCTGAAGGAACAGATGCCAACTACACAGAGTATGTGGCGACAAGGTGGTACCGCTCGCCTGAGCTGCTGCTGGGGTGAGTGTGTGTGTGTGTGTGTGTGTGTGTGTGTGTGTGTGTGTGTGTGTGTGTGTGTGTGAAGGAGACTACGTGAGAAATAAGGGGAAAGAGAAAAGGACCTCATTCTGTTGGCTTTGACAAATCATTCTCAGCGTTTTTTATCTTCTCACAGTGCTGGTTTTTGTATAAGACTGTATCAGACAAGGACACACTGATCCATCACTTTCTCTCCAGATACCGTTTCCAATACCTTTATTCAGGATATCAGTCTGTTCGGAGTACCATTCAAATACCAGTGCTCTCATTTGACCAAACTCAAAATCTGTCAAATTCACTGGAAAGAAGGGGGGCAGTTTTTATGTAAGGTAACATCACGAGGACAAGGGTTTCTTTAGCCAGCGGTGGAGGAAGTGCTCAATTTACTTAAGTGAAAGTACAATACCACAGTGTAATAGTACTCTGTTACAAGTAAAAGTCCTGTATTCACAATCATCCATCCATCCATCCATTTTCTAACCGCTTATCCTCTTGAGGGTCGCGGGGGGGCTGGAGCCTATCCCAGTTGACATTGGGCGAGAGGCAGGGTACACCCTGGACAGGTCGCCAGACTATCACTTGGTTATTCAAAATCATACTCATGTAAAAGTACGAATTAGTATCAAAATAAATCCCATCCCAAAAATTTGTGACGCTTAGTAAAACTTGAATATAAACAGAATTCAATTATCTGCAAATCCATTCTCACATATATTCAGTTTAACACAGTACAAAGACAACATGTTCACACTGATAAACTTTGTTATTTTTGTTTTTTTTTAATAAATATACACTCATTCTGAATTTGATGGCAGCAACACCTGTCAAAAGCGTTGGGACAGGGACAACAAAAGACCGGGGAAGTTACAGGTTAACTGGTAATAGGTGATAGTATCACGATTGGGTTTGAAAGGGGCACCCTTAAAAGGCTCAGTCGTTCACAACCAAGGATGGTCACTTTGCAAAAAAAAAAAAAAATTGTGGGCTGATAGACCAACAGTTTAAAAATGTTTCTCAAAGCATGATTACAAGGACTTTAGGGATCTCACCATCTACAATCCATAATATCATCAAAAGATTCAGAGAATCCGGAGAAATCTCTGCATGTAAAGTACAAGGCTGAAAACCAACACTCAATGCCCGTGACCTACGACTGCTCAGATGGCACGACATTAAAAACTGTCTTGATTCTATAAAGGATATTAGGTAGCACTTTACTTGAAGGTATCTACATAAGGGTGACATGACACTGTCATAACTATGACATGACACTGTCATGAACTTTTCATAAACATTATGTACATGTCATAAACGTTTATGACTGCTGTCATTTGGTATTTGTAATGACAAGTTGACATTGTTTGGGTTGTCTTGATTATGACAACTTGACATTAATCAAAGTGAAATTACCAGAAGTTGTCTTTGTCATGATAAGCTGACATAAATTTGTTTGGGATGTCCTTATAATGACATCTTGACATTAATGTAAAGACATCTGCTGGTAATGTCATCCTGGTTAATGTCAACTTGTCATAATAAGGACACCCCAAACAAATTTAATGTCAACTTGTCATGACAAAGACAACTTCTGGTAATGTCACTTTGATTAATGTCAAGTTGTCATAATCAAGACAACCCAAACAATGTTAACTTGTCATTACAAAAACCGAATGACACTTAATGACAGCATGTGGACATGTACATAATGTTCATGACAGGTTCATGACCATGTCATGCCATAGTTATGAGTGTCATGTCACTCAGTAACATTTTGGAAAACCATTATCGGTAAACAAAGTTAGTTGCTTCATCTACAAATTCAAGTTAAGATACTACCAAGCAAAGTGAAAGCCAGATATCAACAACATGCAGAAATGCCACCGACCTCTCCAGGGCTGATCTCACCTGAGACGGACTGATGCAAAATGGGAAAGTGTACTGTGGTCTGACGAGTCCATCATGGATGTCGTGTCTTCCGGGGTAAAGAGGAAAAGGACCATTCACATTGTTACCAGCTCAAAGTGCAAAAGCCAACATCTGTGATGGTACAAGGGTGTGTTAGTGCCTAAAGCATAATGGGTAACTTGCATGAATGCTAAAATGTACATACAGGTTTTTGCCATCCAAACAATGTCTTTTTCAAGGATTTTATTCCAGGTCTCTTATTCCAAGTCACGTTTTGCAGGTGTTACAACAGTGTATCTTAGGTGTAAGAGAGTGCAGGTACTAGACTGGCCTGCCTGCAGTAATACAGTGCAAAAGACAACAGTGGAGAAGCTGACTGTTGAGCAACTGAAGTCGTAAATCAGGCAACAATGGGAAAGTTTCACTTTCAAAACTTCAACAATTAGTGTCCTCAGTTCCCAAATGCTTACTGAGTATTGTTAAAAGCAAAGGTGATGTAACACAGTGGTAAACACGCCACTGTCCCAACTTTTTTGGAGTGTGTTGCAGGCATCAAAGTCAGAGCATGTGCATATTTACAAAGTCACAGTCTGAACATTAAATATCTCATCTTTGGACTGTATTCAATTCAATATAGGTCAAAGAGGATTGGCAAATCATTGCATTCTGTTTTTATTTATGTTTCACAGTGTCCCAATTTTTGGGAATTGGGACACTGAATTGGAGTCTGGATTTGGCAAGAGCGTAGATAAGTTTCACTTTCAGTTCAGTTTTAAATAGTAAGGCTTTAGCGAGTCCTCCATTTAGTGCTCCTTATGACATTTTCAAGAATCCACCACGCTTGAATGAAAACAACCAGTCAGCGCAGAAGTGTCTCTAACGCAGCTGTCAATTATGTCAATCACTGCCTGTCAAGCTGTCAAACCAAGCAGCGCTGATCAAATATGAATCAAGATTATGTTACTGCATTGCCTGTTTCTCGTCTCAGATGTTTTCAGAAACATATTTTAGTGCACTGCTCAGCTGTAAAATGAGAAATTGTGACCCGGCCACCATATTGGAAACAGTCAAAACCAAAAATGAAGCACTGCCCACCACCAGACAACTTTTCTCATTCTACAAAATTATTTTTATAAAAGTTACCAACTGTAGCTTTAAATAAATGATCAAAATAGCTCCTAATATATTTACAAAAGTTATAGCTCCAATTTAAATAAATTAATTAAACTAAACTAAACTAAATTAAATTTAATTTAATTTAATTAAAATTAAAATAGAAATATACATTTA